CTTATGTAGGAACACACCCTTCAACTTTTCACCCATGTAAATCCTTGCTGCTGATCCATCCTTACTAGATACCCCTGTGAGATGTCCCTCCATAACTTATAATTCCTAACCCAGGTCCCAGCCTCCTCCTGATTCTCTTGCTTTCTTTGTAGATTTCAACTGAGCTTTGCCAATATCTCAACTCTGTCACTATCCTTGATCTGAAGTCTCATGAAGCACAGACCAATTACACTGTCTTCCCAGTGTCTTGCTCATGGAAAACGCTTCTTCAACATTGACTAAACACAAACCCACAGGGAAAAGCACTCTGTTGTTCAGTTAGTTCCTTCCAGAAGTCATCTAGACACCAAGTTTCATCTGAAAACGTTCATGAGCTCTTTGCTCCAAATGTGGTAAGCACACAGGATATATTTTAAATACTTTGTTATTATTGTGATTTATTTTTTAAAAGCAATATGATCTAAAATTTTTTGAAAGCAAGGCATGATTTTCTTCATAAATGACTACTTAAAATCTGAACAAAATGGAATATTAATGGAACAATCTTAATATGCTAAAAAGAAAAGAAAAGGAAAAACACAACACAACCACAACTATGAAGGACTATTTGGGTCCAATAAATGTGACTAGGAGCTAATTCAATGGGCTCCCACTGAACAAAGATGGGAGCATCTACAACAATGATGATGGCCAGGAACTGAAGCCACCCAAATTGGTTAAAGTCCATGAAATCAAGATGTTCAAAATGATGATCTTTAGATTTTCTTATGGAAACAAAAACAAAAACTCTTTTGAACTTCTCAAAAGAAGGAAAAAATATTTAAGTTAACCAAGGAGTTGGAGAAAGAACTCCATAGACACTTTCCAAATAAGTACAGGTAGAATGTTACAATTAGAACACTCCAAGTTTGCTGTTTCTAGTGAAATACTGTGTTTGGTTAACTTCTGAATATTAGACTAGCCCACGGATGGTTGATGGGGATCTTTACAATGAGTGAGTCAGACTGATAGCAACCGTGCTTCTAATAAACATAAATACCATCACTAAAAACAAAACAATCAGTCATCACACCTTTGATTGTCACTCAGGGCACACACCCAGTTAGTTAGTTAATTAGTTAGTTAGTTAGTTAGTTAGTTAGCTAGCTAGCTAAGGGGAACTAGTTAGTTCTCCCAAAGGGAATCTGCATCTAGTCAAACTTTCAGAGCTCAACCATCACTTAAAATATGGCTGTGATGTTGCGGTCAGTCAGGTGGAAAATTCTATAGGACAAGTGTTCCAAATCTTTCAACAAATCACCATCCATTTAAAAAATGATTGGGGCGAGGTTTTAGATATTAAGATGCTTGGGAGTATATAAACCAAATTTAATATGCACCATCATTTCACTGAGACTTAAATAAGTGAACTACAAAGGGGGATTTTTGACAGCGGAGGAAAAATGTGCAGTCAGTGGGAACTAACTGTTGTTAACAAATTTTTGCTAAATGTATTAGATCTGATAAAATTAGAGACTACTCTTATTTGTTAATGGGTGAGTCTTAAAATTACCTGTGAACTGTTGGTGTTAGAGATAACCTTTAAATTACTCCAGGAAAATAAAAGTGGTGTGTTTGTGTGTGTGTGTGTAAACCTGCATGCATTCAAGTTTGACAAAATAATGCAAGTCCAAAGTAGGTGTTAGAAAAAGATTATTATTCTACTGTTGGCGCCTTTGCATTTGTTTGGATGCAGTGATATTTTTGCTTTAGAAATGTATTAGGGTGAGATGTGGCATATATACATACATATATATACATACATATGTACACACACAAACATAAACACACACAAAAAGGTCTATGGAACACTCAAAAAGAATATACTGAAATATATTCCTATACTTCTATAGTCCAGGTCATCTTTGGTTCCTTCCTGAGTACTCCCAACCTTCTGCCCTTGTGGAGAGAATCATTGTTCTAAATTCTATGTTATTATTACCTATGTTTTTATTTATGCTTTAAAAATTATTTATATGCTTATTCTTAATACTGTTTTTCATTTTGCTTTTGAAGCTCATAAAAATGAAATCACGTTTTATATATTATCAACCTGATACTTCTTTTAAAATAGATTTTAAAAATAAGTGTGTGTGTGCGTGCGTGCGTTCATGTGTGTGTGTGTGTGTGTGTGCGCGCGCGCACATGAGTACAGGAATCCATGGAGGCAGAAGAGGGTGATGCATCTCTTCGAATTAGAGTTGCAGGTGATTGGGAGCCAGAACGTGGATCCTGGGAACCAAATTTGGATTCTCTGAAAGAATAGTGTGCACTCTTCACCACTGAGCCAACTCTCCAGCCACTTTACTTGCTCCTTAGCACAGCATTAAACTTGAGATGATGTGGACTGAGGCTTTAAATAGTAGTTATTTCCTTTTTGTCACCTTGTGCCTATATACCAAGAATTTTTAAACCACTGCAAGGTTGGTGGACATTTATTTTTAGTGTTGTATGGATATTCCTTTGCACATCTCCTGGTGTGTAGAAGACCCTATAATGTGTATGCACCTGCCACTGCATTATAGGACACACGCAAATAAAGTTGGATAATGGCAAACTACGTTCTGCATTGGCATAGCCTATGCTTCTTCCAATATCCAATGCTCTCGATAATTTCCCTTCTCCCTCCTTCACCGCTGTTATTGTTTTCATAGTTCTTATTTTGTTCTTGTTAGTCTGTCAAAAAGAATAAAATGATATCTTATTGTAATTACCATATTTCTAATTGACTGTTAGTATCTTTTCATATGTTGGTTGAACATTTCTTGCTATTCCTTTATAAATACATATTCTTTTTTCTAAAAAAAACTTTTATTCTAACAAGTTGTTTCTCTTTTTCTTATTGATCTTGAGCGGCTCTCTGGATATTATCCATGTTAACCTTTTGTAGTTATTTGTAAAAGCAATTATTTTGTGGCTCATTTTCTTGCTCCTTCAACAAACCAAGGATCTCAATAATCTTGCACTCTCACCCACATCAGGACTGAGTAGCTACCCCTCTGTATTGCCTCCTAACAGGTTTGTGATTTTGGTTTTCACAAGTAATCTTCAATGCAGCTGGAGTCTCCCTGACTTTGATAATTGTGAGCCAGGACTTTGATTTCCTGTTTTCCATGTGGATAGTCAATTGCCCCAGAATCATTTATTGAAAAGTTCATTTTTTTTTTTTTGCCCACTTCTCTGAAATACTGGCTCGGTCATAAACCAAACACCTATCTAAGTCTGTGTATGCTTTTGAGCTCTTGAAAATGGACTGGACTTCCATCATCCAGGAGAGGGAAAACAGCAAATAGAACCGTCTAACTTCTGCAATTTCCTGTGTCGTGCAAACCAAGACCTACCGAGTTCTCTCTAAACTTAATTCTCACCAGCTAGTCACTCCTCAAAAAGCATTATTCCCAGTCTTTCTGGGCCTCTAGCACATCAGGTCAGTGAGTTTTTACCTTAAAAACCAAAGCGTTCCCATGTTGGAACAATATGAGTAACGTTCGCCTCATTAGACTGGGCAACATTCTAACCTGCAGGTGGTATTAATCTCCACAGTGCCCAGCAAGTGACAGAAATGAAGTAAACCCAATTTCTTGTGAGATTTTATGAGGATGGATGAGGATGTGCATGAGCTGCCTCCTGACATGTCCGGATTGTGCTCACATGGACTACATCTACGTTACTTTTGTCAAAAAAAAAGTATGACCTAGAAACTTTCCTAAATCATACAAAAGATAAGGGCTCCAGCTCGCTGTTTTATCAATTTCGAAGTCTGTCTTACAAAGTAATCACATAAAGATCCGACTATTGAAGAAAAGCATGCATCTCCGTTCTGCTGGATTTACTTGTGCTGAGAAGTGACGCCAAATAAAGAAGGACAAAACAAAGCAATTGAGTTCTGTCCCATAAATGCTTTTCTCTTTGTCTTTATCAGCTGTGCAAGGACAGCAACTTGCGGACATTCTCCCCCCTCCCCCCCCATCCTGTTGTACATTTTGTATTGTCTCTTTTTCAGCTAGAATATAAAAGTCTTCTGCAGGCAACTTCAGGGACCAATTAACTCCATTAAATTATATCCAGTTATGTAGTGAAGTGAACCGCTGCTCGTCTGGGGCTGTCTAGAGCTGAGACAATTAGGAGATGGAGAGAGGCAGAGAGAGAGATTGATTTTATGTGTCACCGAAGCACACTGCAACAATATGCCAGCGTGACTTTCAAAATGGCCTTAAAATATTCCAAACTCAGGGAGTTTCCTTGCTCCTGAGTGGGAGTTGACAGACTGTCTGGCAGCATTAGAAAAGGCAGGGAGAATGTCTATATTGTGTCCTGTAATAACATTCTGCCTCTTTTCGGCATCTTCCCCTTAGGATGACCCGCCGTTTGGGGTGTGTGTGTGTGTGTGTGTGTGCGTGTGTGTGTGTGTGTGTGTGTGGTCTTCTCTACGCAAAGGGCATGATTTCACATCTGGGAAAACCAAACTGAAGGACACTAACCTTCCCAAGGTCACTTAGAAAATGAGTGCTGTGACCTGGTGTGTGGGTGGAACAGAACCCAGGTGTCCTGGCTCCAGCTTTGTGGTTGGGCATTGAAGCATTTTCCTTTGTGGGGAAAAAAATAACCGGTCGGGGGATTTAGGGGAAGTGAGAGATCAATCTGATTTCCTCTCCCCGCCACCTTACCTCCCTTCTTTCTTACGAAAATTAAAAACTCGGGAAAGCCAGAGGTGCCTTTTAGGCAGTTCTTAAGCAAGGTCCACCAAACCAACTCCCACCCCCCGACACAAAGCGATCGCGGCTCTCAAGGATTCTAGGCGTCTGCTTGTGAGCCTGGGAGGTGAGGAGTGGTGGAAAAGTCAGCCCTCACCTCCAGCGGGTCCCGGGCTCGGCGGCGCCCAAGCCCCGCCCCCGACCGCCCTTCCCCCGCGGCCTCGGCAGCCAGCCCCTCTCCCCTCTCGTTGTCGGGCGCACCCACCCCAGATGCCGCCTGGCACCGAGCGCAGCCGCCGCCGCCGCCGTACTTTCCACTTGTATTGATCACTCCTAGCTCGGCTCAGCCTGCTCCCGGAGCGCAGCGCGGCCAGCGCGCCAGCCCTTGGCAGCTCGGGCAAGTCGGGCTCCCAGAGGAAACTCCTTGGGAGCGCCCTGTCCGGGGTGTCCTCTGCGCTCTGCAGTGTCTTTCTGTCTGCCTGGAAGGAGGAGGAGGAGAAGGAGGAGGAGGAAGATCAGAAGGAGGAGGAGGAGGTGGAGGAGGAGGACGTCGTCTGGTCCCGGTTGGGAGGTGGAGCAGCGGCAGCAGCAGCCGCCGAGGCAGCCGCCGCCGCCGCCTCCGGAAAGGGAGAGGCAGGAGAGATCGGGACTTGGAAACCCCAAAGTGTCGGCGACCCTGCACAGCAGGCTTCCTTCCAGCTTCATGGGCAAAGTGTGGAAACAGCAGATGTACCCTCAGTACGCCACCTACTATTACCCCCAGTATCTGCAAGCCAAGGTAAGGAGGCGCGGGGAAGGGTCTCCAAAGGAGGGGACCGCGGAGGCTCGCGCCGGGCCGGGCTGGGGAGGGGAGCGCGGCGACCCCACCGCCCCCGGGCGCAATTGCTGGGGTTGCTAACTATAGCGCTGGCCTGGGCAGAGCCTGGCTGCGCGCGGGGCGGCGGCTTCCCGGAGAGCAGATCGCAGCGATCGGGTTACAGAGAGTCGCGGGGCGGGGAGTGGGGGGGTGTGCAGCGACTAGACAGGAAAGGACCGCCGTCCCCTTCCTGGCCGGCGAGGAGGGGAGGGTCTCTCGGCCTCGCGGCGCCCCTCGTCCAGCTAGGGCTAGCGGCTGGCCGACGCTTGGGGGCCCACGGCAGGACCCGCTAGTGGCACGGCTTTCCGACCTCTCCAGGGCCTCGCCCTGCGGGCGGTAACTCTGGGGTCCCCGGGAGTGGGGCGCAGCACCCACCCCCGCCCCGCCCCGCCCCTCGGGACTCCCCTCCAGCTCCCGCGCGCGCGACGAATGTGGCCGGAGGGGGCCGGGACCGTCTCCTCCCCGCCTCGGGCCCTGCGCTCCCGCCCCTTGCCTCTGATCTTTGTGCGGTGTGGCACTTCACCTGGTTACTGATTTCCACTTTTACGCTGGTGTTTTGGGTAGAAAAGTGGCCAAAGTTCACTCCGCATTCATTGATGTCCCTTTTAATCTTTTCTGTAGCTTTTACGTAGGGAGGGACAATGGGCAGATTTCGATGCGCAGAAAGAAGTGACTTTGTATTTACTTTTCCCCTCTTTTTTTTTTTTTTAAACTATCTTATATGTTTACCACAGAGTGATTTTCAGTTCTGCTCAAAAGTGGCCTCGGCACACTCTTGGGTAAGGACAGCTGATGACATGTAGCCGTACAAATTACGGCCGGCTTTCCAGGGACCCCGGGTACTTTGTTGATGGGCCTATGCTAATTTTATAACAGTTCGATCCCTCCTAAACTAATTTTAAAAATTATCTGGGTTCAAGAAAAGCGCATTTAACCGCCGTGGAAACATCTGCGATAGTTAGGCAAGACAGAAGGTGTCGGTGGATACACTAGCCTCCTTTGGTAGTTAATACCTAGCATGCCCTTCTAGATCACAAAAGAATCAGGTATGAATGCGGGCGTTTGAACTTTTTTGAGGGGATTGCTTGCAGGCAGAAGGGTATTTCTGACCTGGTAGCAGCAATCTGTGATCCAACCCTGAAAGCTTTCTTCCTTTCCGTGTGTGTGGTCCATGTTATCCTGTACCTACAGCATACCTTAGTGTTTGTCCATGGAAAAAGGACTTGTCAGCAGAGGCCAGACATTTCCCAGCGCTCAAAGACCTTGCGGCTCATTCACCATTCCCTCTTACCTTAGATCGCCAGGGCTGGTTAGGCACTAGCAGCTGAGAGCACCATTGCTGGTCTCCATGAGGTTGTCATGTCATTGTTTTAAGAACTTGAGGGAGATGCTTGCTTGGCGTGTGAGTGTGTGTTTGTGTGTGTGCGCCGCGTGCCCCGTGTGCTATGCTGAAGCTGTTTGAGGAAATTCTGTAAGGTAATCAATGTGCTACCTTTTAGATGTGTTGTATATTTAATGCACTTATTTAAATTACACAGCATTTGGGTGCCAGAAGGACAGCCTATTCAACACTTAACTCTATAAATTATAAATACACACATTCAGGTGAAGAAGAGAAAAAAAAGAGCCATGTTTCTATGCAACATTTACCTTAGTAATTTTTATGTACCATTAGTAAGTTAGAAACCAAGTACATAGCATTTAATATAGCTAATGCAATGCCATTTGGCTTTTTTTGCCCCTGTAAATAATTGAGGAGAGAGACAAACAGCAAGAGCCTGCTGGAGTAATTAGGGCTGGATCCCAGGAAGCTCTCGGGCCCATTTTCTGAAAGTGTGCTTCCTGCATAAAGCATTTAATATTGATTTGTGTTACAGTAAATGACAGTCTCAAAACATATTTTGCTGTTTCTCCTATGAAATCTGAAATCCTATTACCCTGGCTCCCTTTGTTTCGGAAGGAAGGTGTGTCCTCAGCTGACCTATATAATGCGGTGTTTTAAAAGTTTGGTAATTAAATATAAACTCCCTATTGTAAAGGTGTCATAATTAGTTCAGAGAGGAGCATCTCCAAAAATACAAAGGCACCAAATGCAGGTTTTAGATAGCAGAGTCAGAGGCGGGACATACACCTCCCTTCCTCCTCTCCGCAGCCATTGGTAAGATGGTGGTGGTGAAAGTCATTAAGAGAAATGGAGACTTTATTTGGGTTCTAGTTTAATAACAAGCATAATGTACCTGAAAAGTTAATAAACTCCATGAGACTCTGTTGTCTACAGCAGGGCCGGTACTTGTCCGTGTGTGTTCTGACCTTTCTGAGAGAGACTACGTCACTCTCCGTAAAGTACACTGATGTGTTTGGCTAGTCCCAGTTGTTGCAAACTTGTTTGGAAGCTGGATCAAACACTAAGGAGTGGTTTGGTCATTGAAAAAGGAATTTTAACCTGTGAATGTGAAGCCGATGTGGTTTCGCTGGATCAGGAAGGAACAGATGAAGCTGATGTATTTTATCAGAGGAATAGGTGATTTTAAAAAGTACTTTAAAACGAGTTTTATGGTCACACTTTCACAAGTTGCAGGTGACGAATGCTCCTTGTGTTAATCTAAGCAGAGGCTGTTTTGGCAAATTTGTTTTGGAAGATGCTCCCATGAAACACATCAATTCTGTATTTTGCAATCAAGAAAATAGCACTCGGAGCCAACAACTGCATTGGTGGGCATCTTGCTTTAACAGAGAGAAAATGTGACATCATCTCCAGGGAACATCAGGTACCTGTGAGGCCGCTGAGAAGAGCAGGCCATGGGTGGACGAGATGTCGTTTCCATTGTGCCTTAGCCTACAGTCACGTGGAGCTCAAGTACCCGGATTTTACCCCATGGAGGATGATTTTGTTTGTTCTGTCGGTTATTTCTCTGTCAGTACTGCCTTATTCTAGCAGGTCGCTTTATCGCCTGGCACATTCATCCTGAAATAGCCGTCCGCAGAGTTTTGTAAACACAAACACACACTGTTCTAAAGACCATTCCAGATGTTAAATGACTTAGGTGATACTCCGCAAAGTTAAATATGTGCTTCAGTTTTCAGCTATTCAGGGAAAAAAAAAACTGATTAACATTTTAATTCAAAGACTTGTATGTACAGGTTGTCAGCCAGTGGCTATAGGAATTTCACTTCTGCACAGGCTGCTACTGTACTTGAGAGACACTATAGCACGCATCAGTGCTGGTGTGTGTGTGTTTGGATGTTCCTGGGGATACAATGTGTAATCTTTCCCTTTTGAAGAAGAAATACAGGTTTGCTTTCTGGATGTTTTTTGCCAGTTGAAGGCAGCATGACACATACAATCTTTGTTCAAATACCTTTGGTGTATAGTTCTCTAAAATATAGAAGCTTCCATTTTGTGCGTACAGCTGTCTTCTGTACTAAAGAAATACTCTATAATAAAGAAACGTTTGTTTATGACGGAACACATAGCTTTGTTTTGAGATGATTTTTGTATAAATGGATACCAAAGAATATATCTGAACTCAGCATCAAACGCTGAGAGATAATAAAGTAATTTAGAATTCCACTAATAAAAGCTGTAGGGACAAAACAGTTCTGAACCCACCCTCTTTGACACACAACCATTCCAGTGGATTTTCAAACAGATATATTTATCTGTAATCAACAAATATAGTGCCAAACAGTCTGAGTCTTCTAGAAATTAAGGTCATGATTCTACATGCGTAAGTAGAAACTATAACAAAGTAGATGGAATGTAGTACGGCACAAGCCATGGGTACTTTGAGTCTTAAGATATACATACCTATGTTAGCTGGCTGTAGTGGGTTTATGCCTTTGATCCCAGCACTCGGCAGGCAGAGGCAGGTAGATCTCTGTAAGTTTAATGCCAACCTGATCTACAAAGAGAACTCCAGGGCAGCTAGAATTCTAACAGAGAAACCCTGTCTCAAAAATAAAATAAAATAAAATAAAAATAAAAAGGTGCACCTACCTTTACCAGGTGAATAAAAGTTGCTTAAATGTATCAGTTTAGTAATGCAACATTAATTTCCTTAGTAGGGTATTTTGAGTGTCTGGACATGGCAGAAAGACTCAAGGTTATGGGACTGTTAAAGGTGAAGTTATACATTGTAGCGCCCTTTCTTTCAGATATCTCTAGAGTTCTGCAGAACATAAAATATGTAGAGACACATATTACCTCTCTCTGTTGAGAATGAAACCTTAAGCCACTAGAAGAGGATGGGGGAAGATGTGGGGGGAGGAGGAGAAGCGCATCCTTGTGCATCACTGCTCTGGAAAGACCTCCGATTCTTTGGCAGTGTACATTTTCAGTGAGAGAGAAAAAAGCGTTTGCTAATATGTTACTGTGTCTGTGTTTTGCCTAATGCTGTTTTGAAACTCTAAAGTTATTCCAGCCAACTTGATGGGTAATAGAATTTAAACTTTCAAACCTTTTAGGTAAGTGGAAGATATCTCTTTTTCCCTTTCTTTTTACGTAAGAAAGACTGTCCACGGAAGCAAATCATAAGTTTTCTTCTGCATCACTTTATCCAATAAAGACACAGGAGAAAGACCTATTGAGAATGGAGAAGTTGGTGTTCTTTAAAAATGACATGAACAGCTAAGAGCTCGTTCATTCTCATAAAGAAAAGGGCTTTCTTATCTAGTTTGTTTTCTGCTGGGCATTCACGGTTTGGCAGGTTTGTTTTCTCCAAGCACAGTGCCACAACTCCTCCAGAAGCCTGTCCCCAAATTCGCCAGTGCTTTGCTAGCGGACTAATGCTATTCATTGGGGGAAGGGAGAGGAAGAATGCAAAGTTATTTAAGGACAGAGAAATTTTGTAGACACACATCTACAAATATAACAGTTCAGCCTCATTTTCTAATCAAATCAGAGTGTGCTTTGTTATTTCCTT